AATCTTGCTCCTTTTGTGTATAAAATACAAATATATATACAGTACATATAAACAGACATTATATTTGTGGTACTAAAATTTTAAGGAAGTTTGGGAAAAAAGTATATGAGACAATTAAGTTCATGAACTCATCCTCTGAAAAGCACTGTAACTCATTGCTGAATATCATTATGGTCGCCTTTGAACTTCAAAGGCGACCAATGCTAGTGCCTAGTCCACCCTTCAGGACACTTCTAGGATGAATTCATGGATTTAATGCTTAGATCTCTTATGACCACAGCTCTGATGGCTATTCCAGAAACTAAGCTCCAAAATTACTTTGAAGAGTAGACTAGGTGCTGGCTGGCACTGGTGTGTAGCTTCCTAGGGGGAAGACTTTGAGGGTAACTGTAGTGATATTCAGCAGTGAGGTAGGCAGCACTTTTTCTAGGATGAGTTCATGTACTTAATTTCTGACCTCATAAAAAGGCTTCTTGGGGGATAATAATGAGAAAGGTTAAGAAACAGCACCCTAAGCTCTATCCAGGTGAAGAATAGATGATTTTGGAATAGAGAGAAGGAATGAAAAGGTTGAGTTAAAACTGCTCAGTTTTCAGGTGGTGCCTAAGGCTCAAAAGGGTAGGGCCCCGCCTCATATGCTGGAGGTGGTGGGTTCAAACCCAGCCCCAGCCAAAAACTGCGAAAAAAAAAAAAGAAAAGAAACCTGCTCAGTTTTCTTTATAAAGATTGATGAGTTATCTGTGAAGAAAGGAGTTACAAATGTTTAGAGGTGAACAAGAAAGGTTTAGAGTCGTTTCTGTGGAAGCAGAAGAGCTACAGTGCATATAAGCCTTCCTAACTAGTGGTTGTATGGGTCTGTCTCTTACAGAAATTATAAACTTGGCTAAATCTGCCTTAATGCCCTTCTAGGCCATTGGCTTTTCCTCCATCTCTCCTAATGAAAACTACATTAAACTAACTGTTCAGTGGGAAGCATATTATGTCATGTTAAGATGACAGTGACTGATAAATTAATGTTTACTGTTTTCAGGGACACTTGGATTTGAGCAGGGTCTACCCCCAATGTAAAAGAGCAGTAGATGCTTAGGGATTGTGACAAGGCCAGATCAGTGTTTCCCAACCCTGAGTCCTGAAGGGACGATTGCAGTGGTCCATAGGTAAGACAGATTTGTCTGTAGACAGTGTAGTGTCTCAAAAATGCATGACTCCTATTTTAAAAATCACATAATACTATGATGACTAAGTTAAAAAAGTATTACTGAATTTATAGTCATTCTTTACCATTATATACAGGAAGTGCCAAATATATATATATATATACATTTTAAGAAAGGAAAAGACTATTAAAATTGCAATATTCAATATATACTGATAAGACAAGATGAATACAGGTCACATTTGTATTACACATTTTTGTCACAAGAGGTGCTCAGAGTGGTTACTACCAGCATCGACACTTTTGATTACAACAAACTATTTTTAGCAACGCTGACCAAAGTGTCCATTTGTATCACTGCATTTGTCACACGCAGTACCATGTGTCCCAGACTTATCACGAATGTGTGTGATTGTCCGTTGTGTTGGAGGTTCTGTTGCACACTCATGCCAGGATTGTTGTTGTACTTCCACAACATTCTTGAATTTCAAATACCACTTCAAAATGGTCTTTCGCTCCTTGAACAACAACCGTACTTCCACCATTTTCTTAGATTGCCCTGCCTGTTGCATTCACTTCATTAATACCATCTTTTGAGTGAGCGTCATACTACATATTGCTTCTGTAATTCAGTTCAACTTCAAAAAGCAATACATGGATAACATCACCTAAAATGTGTATACATTTTTTTGGTATCCTTTGTGTATAATGATAAAGAATGAGTATAAATTCAGTAATACTTTTTATATTTTAGTCATTATAGTATTATACTTTATAACACTATGATGTATTATGTATTATATAAATGCATTGTATTTTCTCAACCGAGAAATAACTAAAAGTATTATGACTACCATATAAGCCCCTTCTCCTGAAATGCCTGGGAACCACTGTGCTGGATGTGTTTGAGGATCATTATATTTGCAGTGTGACTGGATTCCCCTGCACATAGGCCTTTACATATAGGAATCAGAGTGGGTGCTCATATAGTTTCTGGAGAGTCCTGGGAATTTAGTTAAGGGGAAATCTCTTGAGTAAAACATTCGGAGAACTGTATTTAATGGCCATTACTGCCTTGTTTGGTCAAGTTTCATCTGCAAAATTTGCCTGAAAGTGATTTGTCAGAAAGAGTTGAGAATATTTCATTGATACTTTAAATCTTCATAATTTTTAAACATTTGTTATTTATTAGAGTATCATCAGGCCTACAACTGGCACTAATGTTTACAAATCTGTTGTTTTCCGCCTGAGAGAGAATGGGATTTTATTCCTCCATTTTAGTCTTCTCTATTCTCTGAGTTATCCCATATAATGCCCACGACAGTCTTTCTTGGATGTGCAAAGAAATGCTTTTTGACGTTGATGTACATATCCTTAAAAGTTTTAAAAATGTATTTGGCTAAGAACAAGATGCTAAAAGCCTTACAATAGTGTTTTCTTTTAAAGAAATAGCACATGCCTTCTGTAACCATCTTTGCCCTGTGCTCTTGCACAGGTAGGTCAGAGAGACAGCACTTTAAGCCAGGTTGCATTGTAACAAATTCCATTATTAGCCCAGTTCAAATTGATTAAATTTTACTTTACTTTGGTTATAAAAGGACTAAAAGCCACTCAGGAACTTGAAATCTCTTGTGAATCTTATTATTAGAATGTGCGTATGGGGAGATTGTTTGTTCGTTTTTGGCTTTGGCGGCAGGCTCTCACCTGGCAGGAATGCAGTAGAGTCCATCTGAGCTCACTGCAACCTCAAACCGCTGGGTTCAAGTGATCCTTCTGCTTCAGCTTTCCAAGTAGCTAGGGCTACAGACTCACACTGCTATCCTAGGCTAAATTTAACATTTTTTGTAGAGATGAGGTCTCCCTTTGTTGCTCAGGCTGTTCTCAAACTCCTGGCCTTAAGACCTCCTTCTGCCTTGGCCACTTGAAGTGTTTGGGTTATAGATGTGTGCTGCCATGCTTAGCCCGAACATGCTTCTTTTAAAATAGGGTTTATTATTCCCTTTGGGGTCTTAGTCATAAATTCTTTGCCTAGGCTAATATCTAGAAGATTTTTTCCTATGTTTTCTTCTAGAATTTTTCTAGTTTCCTGCCTTACATTTAAGTCTTTTATCCATCTTGAGTTAGTTTGTGTATAAGGGATGGGGGTCCTCTTTGATTCTTCTGCATGTGTCTATCCAGTTTTCCCAGCACTGTTTACTGAATAGGGCTTGCCGCCTTCAGTTTATGTTGTTGCCTGCATCGCCAGAGAAAGAGAAATGGGAGTTGATTAAATATAAAAGCTTCTTCACAGCAAAGCAAAGAATCAACAGAGTAAATAACAACCTACAGAATGGGAGAAAGTATTTACATCTGAGAAAGGGCTAATATCCAGAATCTACAAACAACTCTAATAAATGAGCAAGGAAAAAACAGTCTCATTAGAAGGGGAGAAAAAGACTTGAATAAAAGTTTTTCAAAAGAAGATAGACAAATGGCCAAGAAACGTATAAAGAAATGCTCAACATCACTAATTCTCAGAGAATTGCTAATTAAAACCACAATGGGATATTACCTTACTCCTGTCAGAATGGCCACTGTTAAATGTCAAAAAACAATGGATACTGGCATGGATGCAGACAGAAGGGAATACTCACACACTGTTGGTGGGACTACAGACTAGTATAATGTCTATGGAGAACAACATGGAGTTTACTCAAAGAACTGAATGTAGATCTACCATTTGATCCAGTCGTCCCACTACTGGGTACCTACCCAAAGGAAAATAAGTCATTTTATGAAAAGGACACCTGCACCAGGATGTTTACCACGGCACAATTCACAGCTGCAAAGATATGGAATCAAACTAAGTACCCATTAATTTGTGAGTGGATTAACAAAATGTGCTGTATATGTACACATCATGGAGAACTACTCAGCCATAACAAGGAATGAAATACTGTCTTTCATGGCAACTTGGATAGATGGAACTGGAGACCATTATTCTAAGTGAAGTATCTCAGGAACAGAAAAACATCAGATATACTTTCTAATAACTGGGAGCTGATCAACGGGCACACACAGGCACAAAGAGGTAGATGTAAAAGACACTGGCAACAAAGAGGGGTGGAAGGATGAAAATCACCTATCAGTAAAATGAACACTGTTTGCTGTGTAACAAAAACATTCATACTCCTTTAATATTTTGAAATTTAATAAAAATAGCTGGGCATTGTGGCGGGCACCTGTAGTCCCAGCTACTTGGGAGGCTGAAGTAAGAGAATTGCTTAAGCCCAAGAGTTTGAGGTTGCTGTGAGCTGTGATGGCACAGCACTCTACCAAGAGTGACATAGTGAGACTCTGTCTCAAAAAAAAAAAAAAAAAAAGAAATTTAAAAAATGGTTCTTTGTTTGACATAAGAAATTGAAAAGGCTCAGGACTGTATGCTATTTGGATCCAGGTTTTCTGTTGAGGGATTTATTTAAGTTTTAGTGATTTTTTTCCCCACTATTATTGCTAATTTAGTAAGGTTCTTTCATATATTTATTGATATTTAATTGATGTATAATAAACTGCAAATATTTTTAAAGCACACAATTTGCTGAGTTTTGACATAAGTAAACGGCTATGAAACTGTTCCACGATCAAAATGATGCACATATTCTTCACTCCCAAGGTTTCCTTGTGCCACTTTGTCATCCTTCTTTGCCCACGCCCACTCTTCCCTCTTAACCCCTCGCCAGTAACCGCAGGTCTGCAGATGTGTTTTCTGTCATTATAGACTTGTTTGCATTTTCTAGAATTTTACATGAATGAAATCACACAGGCATCTGATTGTCTGGCAGTACTGATGCGCGTATCCTTTCAGTTCTAGTTCAGACATCATTAGAGACCTTCTAGAAGAGGAGGAAGCCTGGGAAGCATCACATAGGTGAGTTCTTATAATCAAAAAATAAACATGTACTTTGACCAGAGAAGTTACACTTCTATACAGCTGATTTTCAAACAAAAGAATATTTTGCTTTCTGATTTGAGAAAGTAGTAATCCACATGCAAGGTTAAGATTTCCATTTCACTACTTATTTCTGTTTATGTCTCTTAGAAATGGAACCCTGTTATAGCAACTGTAATTACTTATCAGAAGTTATTTCTATAAGGACAAGTTGTTTCTTAGGAAAATTTATATAGTCATACATTGCTTAATGACAGAGATATGTTCTGAGAAATGTGATTTCATTTTGTGCAAACATCATAGAGTTTGCTTATATAAACCGAGATGGAATAGCCTCCTGCATAGCTGGGTGTGTAGGAGTCTGACCTACACACTGGGTGTGTAGCTGTATGACCTACAGCTTCTGGGCTAAAAACCTATACGGTAAGTCGTTGTAGTGAATACTGTGGTGTAGACAGTTGTAACACAATAGTAAATATTTGTGTATCTAAATATGTTTAAATGTCGAAAAGGTACAGTAAAGTCCAGTTATTATAATCTTACATGCCCTTCATGCACTGAAATGTGGTTATGCAGCACGTGACTGAATCTCAGGAACCCATCAGTTTATTTCTGCCTTTCTCATTGCTGTGATCTGTGCTACCATCATGTCTTGATTGGACAATAGTTTCTTAATTTGTCTGTCGTTATTTCTTCTGGCTTCATTATACTCTAATGCCACAGCAACTAGAGTGATCTTTCCAAAATGCAGATCTGATCACTGTTACTCATCCCTCTGATTTAAAAATATTTAATGGCTCCTTGTTCCCTTGGAATTAGGATGAAATTCAATATGCCTAAAAATACCTAAAAGTTTCTGCATGACCTAATGTCCTTCTACAGACCCATCTCTTAATATATGCCTGTGTATTCTGTCTGTTCCATCATATAGACCTCTCAGGTCTCTTATGTTCAAAGCTGTCTCTCACCACAGGGCTTTTGTACAGGCTTGTCCCTCTACCCAGGATGTTCTTCCCATTCTTGTACATCTGGTTTACACACCTGCTGATCCTTCAGATCTCAGCACACAAGCCACTTCGGGAAGTCTTCACCAACCCGTCTCACTGGATCTAGTCTTCCTATTCTAGGCTCTCCCAGTGCTGTGTCCTCCTCTTCCCACCACATCTGTATGATTACTTGTTTGTCTGTCTCCCCCACTGGTCTATAAGTTTGACATTATAATCCAATGTCAGCATAAGCCTAAGCAATAATAAGTAAACACGTTACTTTGTTCAATATCATAACAGTACTATGATGTACTATTATTATCTCTTTTTTATAGTGAGGAAACTGAGGCTATACAAGAGGTAAATCCCCAGCCCAAGGTCACACAGCAGTAAGTGATAATTGACAGAGATGAAATTCTAACCTGATGATCAAAAGTTGGCACTTTTAACCATTAAACTATTAAACTATACTATCTTTACAAGGAAGGATAGTTTTTACTGTGCTGTTGATATTTTGTAGTTTCATAGCAGTATCACTGGGAGAGTGCCAAAGTGTGTTGTATCCAGGGATGCATATGGACAGGTTTCTCATGAGGTAATTTGGTGGTTCCAACAGTAGCAGTTTATGGAAGTTTGCGATGTTGGTTGCATTTCTTACCTAAGTATTATGTAATGAATTCTGGAAGAGAAAGCGACTCATCTGACTACTACTTATACTTATTCATGTAGAACTAAACCCTAACACCAGTGGCTATGACAAGCTGTAGTCCAGAGTTCCTGAGCCCAAGCCCATTGCTGATAATGAGGACCTCCTAAAGTCAGTACTGTCAGAAAGCACATAAAAAACAAATTCTATCACTTAATATTAAAGCTAGTCATCTAATCTAGTCCTTTTATTTTATAGAGCTCCGGAGAGGTAGGCTTTCCAAGTCAAGGTCCAAAAGACCTATTTAGTGGCGCTGTCAGGATCAGAATCCAGGCCTCCTCATTTCCAACAAAGATAGAGCAGTTTTAACAATCATAATTCCTGCAGTGTATTAGCTTATGCTTTAATATAGTTTTAGAGACAGAATCAGGAAAAGCCTCCACAGCTTTATTTTTTTAAAAAAATGTGACAGTTCTTGCAAATAGCCATCTTGTGGTACCACAAGTGGAATATTTGGGTCAGTGGTCCTAGAACATACTGTATCAGTTCTGACACGTTCTCCTAATTCTTTTAGTGATGTAGAGACCTCCTTAGCACACATTGCTTCATATAAAGTAGTTTTTTCATAAGCAAGATAATTCAGTTTCTACAGACTGGCTTGGTCTCTTATGTCTTAGTTTATTGAGCTGTTTTGAGTTGTATTTATGTATTGTTTTATGAGTTGGTCACTCAGGTGTGGCCACAACAGGAGACATAGAAGAGGCTCAGGAAAACAAAGTTTTTGATACTCATAGGCCCTAGAGGCAAGAGACTTGGCTGCAGGAGAAAGACACCAGGTGGTCAGGGGACAGAAGACAGGAGCAAAGAGAAAACATCAGGCCGGAACATTTATTGGCATTTCCTTGGAAACACATGGTAGGACAGGGTAAAAATTTTGGATTGGCCAATTTGAATAATTTCACCAGGCTCCAAACTATAGGGTGGTCCCTAGTTACTTGGTACCTGCCCCTAGAATGGTTAAGGCAGAGGAATATTGCCTCCGGTGGTGTAGGAGTCGGATGAAAGAGGTTCAGCTCTGGATTGGTTGGTTTGCATATCAGGCATGCTCCTGGCTGGGCCATTTGATGTCTCTGAGAATTGGCTGGTTTCTCTCTACCTCAGGAGGGGCAGTCTCTTCCCAGCTAGAAAGGTTTAAGATGTCAAAATACTACAGGAAAGAAGTACATATATACACACACACATACAATACAAGCTACAAAATATATTTATGTTGAACAGAATGAAAATAGGAAAAAAGATAGATATTGCCAATGGCTTAGCTATTTGGAAAACTAGAGACTGACAGAGTAAGGATACCCCTCACTGTGGAGCTGTAAGCCTGGAGGGTACTGATGGAACCTTCTAGTTCACTTACAGATAGAGCTGATAGTAAGGGCCCATTCTGTGAAGGGACTCACTAGAATCAGCAATGGGCTGATGGTCAAAGGATTTGGATATTGCAATGGCCTCCTCGAATATCAACTTAGATTTCTGAATACCTCCTTTACCTTTTTATGGTCCACACACCTTAGTAAGGCAGTTTGGTCACTAAATGCTGCTAACCTGAGAAAGGGATTATCTCCTTTGGACTACTTTCTGGATAATAATCAGGACAAAAAGGGTGTTGGAGTTATATTGATGTACTTTGAAAATTTGAGATTCCTTCTTGACCTTTCTGGCCAACCCTCTACTGGCTAGATTGATACAACCCTCTGGGAGATATTTTGGCCAAGAAAGGACCTAAAAGATTCAAACATAGTCCTGGTTCAGCTAACCTGACTTCTCTTGTTGGATTTGACATGGTCAAAGAGTTGGCCAGCCCGAAGACCTAATCTGGGCCACTGTCTGTGTTTGTTAATGAAGTTTTCTTAGAACACAGCCACCCACATCTGTTTCCTTATTGTCTGTTCACAGTACTTTTATTATCCTTTCGTGTTACAAAAGCAGAGTTGAGTAGTTGCAGCAGGGACTGGATCGCCGTCAAAGCCTAAACCAGGCATCCTCAAACTATGGCCCGTGGGCCACATGCAGCGTCCTAGGACATTTATCCGGCCCGCCAGGTGTTTTTGCCACCACTGCCTGTCCTGCTTAGCAGCTGACTTGTCCCGGGGCCCATAGTCTGGCCCTTCAACGGTCTAAGGGACAGTGAACTGGCCCCCTGTTTAAAAAGTTTAAGGACCCCTGGATCTGCCCTTTACAGAAATACAGCTGAACCCTATTCTAGATCAAAAGGATAATGACTATTGGTTGAGAATTCTGCTTGCTGGATCTCCCTACCATTGCCTGCATGGCTCGAAGTGAATTTTTGTAAATTTCATAAAAATTCCCTTCTTTCTTCTGTTTCTGGTGCTTCTGGGTAAAAAGATTGGCTGTGTGTAAAAAAAGGATGGAAAAATAAAATTATAACTAATGGAAAGGGGCATACTGATTTGTGGTGGTGAAGGGAGAGCAACCACAGTGAGACTTGGGGAAGGAAACTCTTAAGACTGTGGGAGCTCTTGAGAGGGGAACATAAATGATCTTTGACTTTCAGAGCAATGCCTGGAGTCTTCCTCACGTGGACTCACCGTGATGAGATGCTGCCAAACTGTTGCAGGTGCCTTAGATTTTACTGCCTGCTGGGTGTGCTGTCCCCTTAACCTTTTGAAACAGCAGCTCCTGGACTTCTCACGCAGAAACACTTGTCATCACCTTCAGATGTCACCATCCCCATTCCTATAGCTATTGCTCAGTCATTCCACAGTGTGGACAAGTGTTACCCAACTGGTGGCATAGACTAATGAGATATGTTAACACTGACTACTCTCAGGCAGTTCCTCCAAAACAAGGACTAGATTCAATGAATTGAACTGAATTGGGAACCCCAAAGTTGACTAGCTGACCACACAGCCACATAGAAAGTACTGTCAGCCTGTGTAACCCTAATTCAGATACCACTCATGGGGCCCTCAGCAGTTGTCAATGGTACTTCCTTTCCAGAAATACCCATGTGCTTTCAGAACTATCTTCTTGTGTGAAAGTCAGTCATTAACTTGCCTCCCTCCCCAAAATATGGGGACTGGCACTCTGAGGTCACAAGAGACTTTAGGTAATTAAGGAGACACTGCTAGTAGATCATGTAGCCCTCAGACAACTGTGGACATCTCCAAAGTGAAGCTACCCTGGTTGTTTGGAGAAAGCTTCCAGAAAGATAAATGACTTGTTATTTGTGAATGCCTTGCCGGCAGTTACTCCTGTGATCCTGAAATCATATAATTAGGAAAGGGGTACAAAGTTTAGTCTCTCATTAGTGAAGTGATTATTGATACCACCTCAGCTCTGGAAGGTATTTCGGCTGTTTCAACTCACTGACTAGGATTGTGGTGAATGATAGAATTGCCTTAGATTTCCTCCTCACAAGCCAAGTGAGAGGCTGTGCAATAATTATACATCCTACTATATCTGAATATCTTGGGCAAGGTGGAAAGCTCAAGATAGATGCCCCATGACTTTCTAAGGTAGACACTGAACGCTTACAGATTTTGATCCACTGGCTGGATCTGGGACCCTGGGAATCATGGTTGAGGTTAATAATGCAATTTGGCTTTAATTAAATGGTATCTGAGACAAAATAGAATGAATTTAATCCCAATTCTTTCAGCTAATCAGAGGGGCCAGCGGAGTGGTGTACACGAAGAAATTGTCCAGAAGCCACTATGATACAGAAACAAGGGTTAAATATTGTTGGAAGACAAATGTCTCAGTATGTCTTGTTTTTCTGCATGTCCTCCAATGACGGCATTGACTGCCCTTTGTATACCCATACATTTTCAATCTATCTTTTCCAGATTCTTTGTATAGAGAACAGCCTTGGAAGATACACTTTCTCCCTGTGGAATAGAGGAGACAAGCTTACTGATCATTATAAAAATATCCAAGTTCTCTATTATCAGGGTTCCTCTCTGAAATGCAAACTATTACTTGTGTGGATATGATCTGGTCCTCTTCATATCATCCTAGGAATTGGGTCTTAGAACCAGTTCACATGTTGACTGATTATCTTGCTGCTGTTCTTGCTGTGAATAAATGGCCCCTCTCTAAGTGGGTCTGTCTCATCTTCTGCCACTATCTATGAAACTGACAGGCTAACTTAGCTTGCACATGGGGTAGTACAATCTTTGACCCTCTATGGAGTTTGACATATTCAAATCAGGTTTCTGTTAATGATACTTTGTCCAATTTGGTGGTCTGCCTTTTAATTGGGTAGTTTCAGCTATTTATATTTTATGTAATTATTGATATGATGACTTTAAATTTTGCCATTTTTGTAGTTATTTTGTTTTCTCTGGTTCTTTGTTCCTTTTTTCCTTCCTTCCTTCCTTCCTTTTTTTTTTTTTGGAGACGGAGTCTCACTTTGTCATCCCGTTGTAAAGTGTCATGATGTCATAGCTCATAGCAACTTCAGACTCTTGGGCTCAAGTTATTCTCTTGCCTCAGACTCTCAAGTAGCTGGGACTACAGGCACCCACCACAACACCCGGCTATTTTTAAAGATGAGGTCTCACTCTTGCTCAGGCTGGTCTCGAAGCTGTGAGCTCAGGTGATCCACCCTCCTTTGCCTCCTAGAGTGCTAGGATTACAGACGTGAGCCACCACGCCTGGTCCTCTTTTTTCCTCCTTTTTTACCTGTTTTTGGACCAGTTGGAAATTGCTTATTATTTCATTTTAGGTTAAATATTTGCTTATTAGTTTTACCTTTATTTTAAAAATTTTAGTGCTTACCCTATGGTTTTCAATCTTTGTCTTATCGTAGCCTTCAAATAATATGGGTCTTTTTTTTTTTCCTTTTTCTTTCTCTTTTTTCTTTTTTCCCTTTGAGACAGAATCTCACTATTTGACCCTCGGTAGAGTGCCAGGGCGTCACAGCTCACAGCAACCTCAAACTCCTGGGCTTAAATGATTCTCTTGCCTCAGCCTCCCAAGTAGCTGGGACTATAGGCCCCCACCACAACGCCCAGCTATTTTTTTTTTTTGTTATTGTTGCAGTTATTGTTGTTTAGCAGGCCAGTCCTGGTGTGTGTGGCTGGTGCCCTAACCACTGAGCTATAGGCACCAAGCCAATAACACGGGTCTTCATAAATAGTCTGAGAACTTTACAGCAGTGTACAGTACTTCCTATTCATTCTTCCCATTCTTTGTCCAATGGTTGCCATATATTTATTTCTACATATGTTATAAACCCCACAACACACACTGTTGGCCCTTTTACTTTAGTCTGTTGTTTTTTATACTAATTAAAAATGAGAGACAGGTATCTTTTATATTTATCTTCAGTTTTACCCTTTCTGATACTTTTATTTTTTGCATAGATCCAAGTTCTCATTTGCTTGTTATATTTGTTTGACCTGAAGAACTTCCTTTAATATTTCTTAGAGTTCAAATATGTTAACAATTAATTCTCTTAGCTTTTGTTTTTCTGAGAAGTCTTTATTTAGCTTTCATTTCTGAAGGATTTTTTTGCTAGATAAGGAATTCTGGGTTGACACTGTTTCTCTTTTGGTACTTTAATGATGTCACTCTGTCTTATGGCCTGTACGGTTTCTGATGAGAAGCCTACTGTAAATTTGTCTTTATTCCTCTGTGTGATGATTGTTTTTTTGCCTCTAAAACCTGTCTTTGGTTTTCAGCAGTTTGAATATGATATGTCTAAGTGTTTTTTATTTATTTGTTATTGCTTTATTTTTAGTATTTAATCTGATTGGGGTTCTTTAACCACCTTTGATCTTGGTCTGTTGTCTTTCATTAGTTTTAGAAAATCCACAGCAGTCTATCTTTACATATTCATTTTGAGTAGTTCTTTTTCTCTCCTCCTCCATGGATTCCAGTTACCCACATGTTACACTATGTTTTATTGCCCCGCAGCTCTTGGCTGCTCTGTTCTGTGCCTTCCCCTATCCCACCCACACACACACATTCTTTTTTATTCTTCATGTTTCAATGTGGATGACTTTTATTTTTTTGTCTTCAGGTTTGCTATATCTTTTATCACCTTTATACATTATACTTATGAACCTATTGAAGGAACTTTTTATCTCTGATGCCATATATTTTTACTAACATTTCCACTGGACTCTTATTCCCTCTCTGCTGAAATTCCCCATCTGTTTGGCTTTTCCACCAGAGCCTTTAATTAATCATGTTTATTTTAAGGTCCTAATCTAATGGTTCCATCATGTGGTTCATCCTGTCTATCTGTGCTGGTTGTTTATCTCTGGACAATGGTTTGTTTTGTTTTGTTTTTTCCTTGCTTCTTTGCATATTTTGTGGCTGAATATTAAACATACTGTAAAGGGCCATAAAACTGAGGCAAACAGTGTTGGTGCCTGGAAACGGGTATACTCCCTCGGCCATTTCTTGCTCCTGCTTATTACTTGGCACTGTGCTCATGGTGGGGGGCAGCTGGGAGCACACCATTGTCTTAGTCCAGCCTCAGTCGTGGGTAGACCCAGTGTGCCTGAGTCTTAGGGGTGGGGCTTTCTCAGCACTCCTTCCCTCCTCCCTGCCATACTTGGTACCTGTGTGAGATCATCAGCCCAACATGATTTTTTGCCCCTCTTCCACAATAGAGTTTTGAGGTTCCACAACTTTCCTAGCAGCAGTGAGTCTTTGCCTGTGTTCCTGCAATTGATTGCCTGTACTTTCCTTGGAGACCTGCTGTTACCTCTGCTCCTTCCCCAAAGGCAGTAGATCTTTGCTTTAGTGTCATGGGCCAGTAAGTTTTCTGTTCTTACCTTAGCAATGTAAAAGCTTTTGCTTCACAGGAGAGAGGATCCAGGGGAGCAGGCAGCAAAGTGAACTCTGTCCATTCTCCTGCCTGCTCCCCATCTTTCTTATGAACACCTGGTGGAAGCTCATGGAACAGAGCTTGAAGGGCACGCAGACTCTTATGTCAGGGCCTGCAGTACCAGCCCACACTGAAGCCTTCAGGAAAAGTTTAGCTGGTTTCTTCTCACCTGGTTGTTTAGCAGCCGTCCATTTCTCCAGCACTCTGCCAAAAGTGAGAGGATTTGTGTGGCCCATCTCTCTTTGAAAGGACTTAATTTTCTTTGGAATTTTGTTTTCTTGGTTACCTTACAGTCTTCTCTGTCATTATCAAAAGTTATGATTTTGTTAGACTACCTGGCTTTCTCTTGTTGTTAGGGTGGGAATAACTGTTCTTTTGTTTTTTGTTTTTGTAACTTTCTCCATGCTAAGCAGAAGCATAAAACTGCTGGATTTTGATTCAGAAGGGAGAGGTTTACTTCCTGGCTCTCTCACTATCTGTGATCTTTTGCTAGTTCATGGTTTTCTTCTCATTTGCAAGTATAAAGTAGGAAGAATAGTAAGGGTAATAATAATAGATTTGTTAATAGAATAGAGGGCTGTTTGGAGTTTTAATGAAATAATGCCTGTGAATATACTTGTAAATTAGAAACTACTGTAGAATAACGATTGTTACTTTCTACAATATCATTTTTTTTTCTGTTTTCAGAAATGATCTTCAAGACACAGAAATAAGTCCAACACATAATCGCCGCATAAGAGCTGCTGAAAGTGCTGAGATTGAACCAAGAAATAAGCGAAATAGGAATTAGTGTGAGCTCTTACTGACTTGCTTACTGCACTTATAGTTGCCAGCACTTTTTGTTGCCATATATAGATTTCATATTTAAATGCCTGAGGAGAGATGTTAAATTCTAAATATTATAGTTTGCTGATTATAATTCTTTTCTGCCTTTCCAGGAAGAAAATAAGTTTCAAAAGCATCTTCATTTGATCAGTTGCCTCCTGACTGCAAAACACCTCTGCCTAAAAATATAGACATTGACATCCACATGATCACCAGCTTGTAGAGTGAGCAGACTCTTTGGCAGATGGTTTGATTTGGTTTGATTTCTAAATTTCAGAATGTTCTTAAGCCAGTCTTCTTCTCTTCATGGAGAACCCAACTTTAGCAAAGGATTCTTTTCAACCTCTTTACCACAAGAAGCAAACTTCAAGAGTTAAGAGTGTCTGTGTTTTTGGAAAGGCAGGATGCTGTAATTCACATCCTCTGCGTGTCTTGGTGCTGATGCGAGGCTGCCCACATGCCTGTGTTATAGTAGCAGCAGTTCCATGATGATCATTCCAGGATTTACCATAGCATTTTTTCGAACTCTGTCTTACACATTTAGTATGTTAGTATCATAATTTAAGTCACAATAGTCACAAAGTCATAATAACTTTGAAATATTGGGCATGTTTTTCTGAAATAGCACTTAAAAATGATTACTTTTATTGTATCTTTTCACTTGGGTTAGTCAACTCTTTAACACTTTGAACTCCAGCTATTAAAAGTATGCAATAAATGAATTTTTTTTTTTTTTGAGATAGAGTCTCACTATGTCACCCTCAGTAGAGTGTCATGGCATCACAGCTCACAGCAACCTCAAACTCTCGGGTTTAGGTGATTCTCTTGCCTTAGCCTACCAAGTAGCTAGGGCTACAGGCGCCTGCCACGACACCCAGCTTTTTTTTGGTTGCAGTTGTCATTGTTATTTAGCAGGCCTAGGCCAGGCTTGAACCTACCAGCTTCAGTGTATGTGGCTGATACCCTACTTACTGAGCTATAGGCGCCAAGCCATAGTGGATTTTTTTTAAATGAATAGGCTCCCTATCAATTTTTAAATAATGTCCTTAAAACAATATTCTTAAAAAAAAAAAATATCCTATGAATAGTTGTTTACAGGCTAGAAGTTAAAGGTTAACCCTGATCTGATGTCTATATCAGTGAGTTGCCAGAAATTATGCTAAAATAAAAACTTTTATTAAAAATTACACAATCTCAGGCGGTGCCTGTGGCTTAAAGGAGTAGGGCACCAGCCCCATTTGCTAGAGGTGGCAGATTCAAACCCAGCCCTGGCCAAAAACTGCAAAAAAAAAAAAAAAATTACACAATCTCCTATGAATTAAATTGGAAATGATTACTACTTTACTTGTAGCAAAAGGAGTTTTCAAGGGAGCAGTGAGACTCAGGACAGGAAATCGGGTACATTAATTTATTTAGTAAATAGTTGGTTACTACTTAATTGTAAATCTGTTGGGCACTAGGAATCCAAAGGTCATCTAAAACAGCAGTTCCGGTGGGGCAGACAGAATGATTTTGCCCCTTAGGAGACATTTGGCATGGTATGGGGACATTTTTGGCTGTCACAACTGGAGATGGGAGGTGAGGAGGCTTGCTGCCAGGATCAATGGCTGGCAGCCAGGGATGCAGCTAAACATGTATGGTGCACAGTCAACTCAGGGGTTAGTTTATTGGAACTGCCACTCCAAATTGCCACAGACCAAGTGGCTTAAGCAGTTTATTTTTTAATAATTCTGGAGGCTAGAAGTCCAAGATTCATAGGGTTTCTTCTGAGGCTTCTCTCTTTGGCTTAAAGACAACCACCTTCTCACTGTGTCCCTCGTTGGGCCTTTCCTCGTTGGGCACTTGTCTGTGTCCTAATCTCTGCTTGTAAGGACACCAGTCATATTGGATCAGGCCCACCCATATGGCCTCATCTTACTGTGTTTACTTCTTTGAAGTCCCTATCTGTAAATATGGTCATACTCAGAGGTACTGTGAGTTAGGACTTCTAATATATGCATTTAGGGGGAGGTCACAATTTAGCCCATTACACCTGTACAATAAAGAATTAACCAGTCTAGCTTTTTCTATCTGCGATAAAACTGCCACCAAGATGCAGATTTTCACAAAAACACTTATGGGGAAATTCATCACTATCAAGGTTGAACCCTGGGATACAATAGAAAATGTAAAGACCAAGATCCAGGGTTAGAAAAGAATTCCTCCTAATTAGCAGACTCACTTTTACTATTAAGCAACTGGAAGATGAACGTACTTTGTCTGACTACAGCATTCAAAAAGAGTCCACTCTTCATCTTGTGTTAAGACATCATAGTGGTGTTAAGAAAAGGAAGAAGTTTTACCACCACTCCCAAAAAGAATAAGCTCAAGAGAAAGAAGATTAAGCTAGCTGTCCTAAAATACTATAAGATGGATAAGAATGACAAAATTAGTTGCCTTCATCCAGAGTATACTTCAGATGAATGTGGCACTGAAGTTTATGGCCAACAATCTTGATGGACATTATTGAGGCAAATGTTGTCTAATTTACTGCTTCAGTATATCAGAAGACAAGTAATTGTATATGAGTTAATAAAAGACATTAACTAAAAACAAAACAAAAAAAGAATTATCCAGTCTAAAATGTCCATGGTGTCAAGATTGAGAAATCCCCAAAGTAAAGAAATTCCCAACTCTACCTAAAGAATGAGGCCTTAAGGCAGTGGTTCTCAATCTTCCTAATGCCACAGCCCTTTAATATAGTTTCTGTGGGTCGTGACCCACAGGTTGAGAACTGCTGCCTTAAGGGCTTTTTTGAGCTCTGTATGTAAGTATTTAGGGTATACTTAATATTTGTACACTTAATGAAGAATACTTCCATATCCCTTTGACAAAGGTAAAGGAACTGAGGCTTAATGTTAAATTCAGAATTAAAACTTATAACCTGATTCTGAAATTCACCTCTTAGTGAAAATACAGTTTTCACCAAACTTAGTCATTTCCTGGTTTGGTTTTCACCAAAGTCATTTCTTTCTACCTTTTAACAACCCCTAAGGGTATAATAACTCTGATCAGTTATATCAGGTCATAGTGGCAGTGTGCTTATGGCTCAGGTGGGTGCAGGTGAGCTGCTGTGTGTAATTATTTAGAAAAGGACATCTGATGTGTCAGGCCATTCTTTGTCCTCTACTTCTTTCTTTCTGCCCCACATTGCAGATCACTGTGAATAATGTAGGGTAATAGACCTTATGAAATTGCTGCCCATGAATCAAATCACATGGTAAAGATCCATCTCAAAAGGGATGGACAAAATAGAGAAGTGTTGGTGAAGGATTTTTCTCATATGGCCCTTTGCCCTGTGGAATGAGAAAAAAGCACTATCCAGACTATACTCCTACATGTAATATAGTTACTGTGGTTGAACACTACATTTGACTATGAGTTTCCTCAGAAGCATGGAAAAAGGAGAAATGGATTTCAGACTTCTTAGCATCTGATAAAAGAAAGTAGCAATTCTTCAAAGGAGAAAAGTTTTTACCTTTATGTACTTTGAAAATAATTATAGACAATAGAGGAAACAATCATAACCATTGAATTTATTACCATTTCAGCAGTGGTACTTCTTCAGTTTGTTGTCTGAGTGTTTTTTTTTTTTTTTTTTTTAACGTCCTTAAGAGTAACCAGCTGAGGCTGTTAAAAAGTCACATTAGTAGTAATACCCAAGGTTCGGCATCTGTAGCTCAAGTGGCTAAGGTGCTGGCCACATACACTAGAGCTGGCAGGTTTGAATCTAGCCTGGGTCTGCCAAACAGCAATGACAACTAGAACCAAAAAATGGCTGGGTGTTGTGGCAGGTGCCTGTAGTCTCAGCTACTTGGGAGACTGAGGCAAGAGAATCCCTTAAGCCCAGGAGTTGGAGATCGCTGTGAGCTGTGATGCCAGGGCACTCTACCCAGGGTCACAGCTTGAGGCTCTGGCTCAAAAAAAAAAAAAGTTAAGTAATAACAACCATGTTAATGGCTTTGGATTCCCCATCTACACTTATATCCTACACAGAGCATTTCCCCAGCCTTCCCACATGATATTTCTGGGTATCCTCAGGCGTCAGATTATTCAGAATACAGACACAAGCCCATGCTTGAATATGTGGCTGCTCTCCTGACAGACTTGGGCCAGGCATCTCTTCCCCTCACCAGTGCTCTGTCACATGCATGATGGCTCGTCTTGCTGGGGAGTCCTACATAGGATCCTTGTCAAAGATGCTATCCTTAAGCAGCATTGCCTTCTGCCCATTTCTCTTGGCCTTGCAGTGTTCCAAGTAGAAGTGATGAGAGAGTGCTCTCTCAGTCATGGTGTGCTTTCACCTGGACCCACAGTCCCTTACAAAAAATGTGCTTACTCTCCTCCTCCTCCCTCGTTCTCCTTCCCTCTTTTTCTTTCCCTTTACTCTTGTCTTTCTGTTCCTCCCTTTCTTTCCTTCTTTCAACAATTAGGACTGTATGTCATGTAGTATGCAAAACTTGCCCTGGTAGAGCTTATAGGCCAGAAGGGAGGAACAGACATTAAATAATTACACAAATTGGGGGCAGAGGCAAGATGGCTGACAGGAGCCAGCTTTCCACAGAGGTTCCCATGCAGAAGGAGAGTTAAAGGACAGAAGTTTAGCAAGTAAGCTGATGATTTGGAGCTGAGCCAAGACAGAAGGTTGAAGAATGCACATCAACCCTGCTTAGGAGAGCTGCAACACCAAGGAAAGAAACGGTAAAAAATCCATCCCCAAGCAGATGGGAGTCCCCTCCCCCATGAGAACAGCTTGCAGTATACTTTCTACAAATAAGTGAGCAGAGTTCAGATCTCCTATTTTATCCCACAGAGAGACCCTCTAAAAACCGGAACTTCTTCCCCAGTGTGGCACTCTCGCTAGGATAAAACTATATATGGCACTCTCTAGTCAGGATAAAACTGTATATATTCTCTGCCTGCAATTCTGAACTCCCAGCACTCCCCTCCACTTTCACCCCGAGGTCTGGAAGCCTGTCCCCCATGGAGTCCAGATTCTTGGGCATTTTCCTGAGAGGTGTGGACAAGGCATGGGCTGTTGCAGGTCTGTCCTGATTCTGTAGCACAGGTGAAAGGAGAAGACAGTGGACTGAGGGAACCATACGGGAGAGGGAGAGGTGGTGCCCTGTGGCACAGCAGCAGCAGCAGTGGTAGGAACAATAGTGCTCACACCCCTGGGGATATTTTGGAGAGAAACTCCCTGCCTCTCTGGACAACCAGAGAAAGCTGGGCATCTCTGGTGGCAGTCACTTGTGGAACAGACCTAGGATGGAAACACAGGCCCCATCAGTAAAGAGTATGCCTGAGGTGGTACCTGCATGGGCGGGGCACAGCAGAGATGGGAGACTAGAATACATGTACAGAGAGG